AAAAAAAAAAAAAAAAAGAAGTATGGCAAGATTCCACCAACTGTCTTGGCGCTTCTACCCTCTGCAATGAGAAGAGCATATCACCAGGTAGGTGTTGTTCCTTTAGCTACACCCTAAAATGGAGGCATGGTGACCAGCCCTGAAGCTGATCAGAAGCCTGAAGTCTTGCCTAGTCTCACTGTGCCGGCCATGCTCAGCCAAACTGCAGCCAACCTGCTGACCCACAAGGGTGAAATAAATGTTACTGTTGTAAGCCACTGAGATTTGGGGTTGTTAGTTATTTGGCACTGTAATAACCTAATTAATACAGTGCCCAACATTAATAGGCAGAAACCTAACACCTAACAGTCCTTGTTGTTGTTAGGTGTCACTGAGTCAATTTTTGATTCATAGCAACCCCATGTGACAAAGTAGAACTGCCCTATAGGGTTTTCTAGGCTGTAATCTTTACAAGAGCAAGTCACCAGGTCTTTCTCTCTCCAAACCACTGGGTGGGTTTGCACCGGGAGGTTGGCAGTTGAGCACTTAATCATTGCACCACTGGGACTCCTTTAGCAGTTCTAACAGTCCTTAATCTGTTAATGGAAAAAAAACCTTGCATTTTTTACTGTGAAAATTGTTGAAGTACACAAGAAAGATAAAAGCACAGACAGAAAATAAAGCAAAATGTGAACAATGAAGAACTCTGAGTGTTGGGAATTTGGATACTTTTATTTTCTCCTTGTTGAGATTTATTTTCTTCTTCTTATTTTTTTTTTTTTTACAATAAATAGAAACAATTAACATGGAGAAAAATTTTTAAAAGAAAATCAAAGGAGGAAAATGAGGTCTACTGATACAGACAATGTAAGGCCACCAGTGAAACAATAAGGACTAGATGGAAAGCAATACAGCCTCCTGGTGTCACCTGTCACTCTCCTGGCAGTGAGCTTCTGAGATACAATAAACAAAGGGACCAGCTTCAGAACTCGTTAGAAACCATATGCTAAAAATGTGTGATCATGTGAAACAGCGTACAGCAGGATGTCAAACGCTAGCAGTTTGGGCCTTCGATTTAACAGAAGCAATATTGCAAGGGAACTAAATGATAGAGTTCTACTATTAAAAAGAAAATAGCTCAAGAACCTCTGCAAGAAAAAAAACTGGCTCTGGAATAAATTAATGTAGTAGAAAACCTAGGAAAGTCGAAGCAAAGCTAGTCTTCTGGAGGATTGGAAGTAAATTCACACCCCCTAGTTGGCCATGTCTCAAAATAGGAGATTACTTATGGTTTGGCATCAATTCAGAACGTCTATCATCAGATTTCTATCCAAACAATACATTACTGAAATATTCTTGTTCATTACTACCAATACTGATTTACGGAGTTGAGATGAGATAAATGGGATGGAAAATTTTAAAGATAAATCATGAAAGCCCTTCTCTGCAACCTTCAGGATCCAGCTCAAGACCTCTTCTTGGTGAAGTCAGCCCCAGCTCTCCCACCCATGTTGCTCTCTCCCTGCCCCAGCCCCCTGCGGCACTCAGCGGCTTAATGAGCCATTTTAGGTCGCAAGCATGTACTTCATCTCACAGTTACTTAAGAGCTTCGTTGTCTTCCACCTTAACTTCTAAATAGGAGTCTAGGCTATTTGCGGGGGAGGAGCAAGTCATGCTCAGAGAGTAAGAGAACACCAGAAGTGGAAAGACCCTCAGAGTTGATAAGATCTAACTCAGAGGCCCTGAAAGGGCAAGAGACTGACTCAAGGTCATACAGCTACTTAATGTCAGAGCTGGCTCTGGAACTCAGTGCAGCTTTTACCTAGCCTACCATCCTACCTCTGCATGCAACATTTTTATAAAATGGGTATAAATATTTTTATACAAGGAGTATCTCTCCTATAAAGTATACATATGGCACCTAAAAACAGCTGAGTAATATATATTTAAGCTCTCTAAAACTAATATAATATCAATGAGAAGGTCTAATAGGAGTCTCTGGGTCATGCAAATGGTTAATGCTCTCGCTGCTAACTGAAAGGCTGGTGGTTCTAGTCCATCCAGAGGCACCCTGGAAGAAAGTCTCGGCAATCTACTTCTGAAAAATCAGCCACTGAAAACCCTATGGAGCACGGTTCTACTCTGACACATATGGGATCACTATGAGTCAGAATCAACTTGATGGCAACTGGTTTGTTTTACTGGTAACATGTAAATAATTATGATTTTATTTGTCTTCTTGAAAAATAGGATGGCTTCTAGAGGATTCTGAAAGCTCATGGCTATTTAAAAAGTTGCCTACTTTCATTAAAATAAGAATCTCTTTTTCTTGCCATAAATTTCCAGAAAAGTGCAGAGCTATAATTTCCCCTCCTCCATGAATTTCTTGACTATCCCTTCAAGTAGAGCAAATCAGCTGGTCTTTTCTTCTGAGGAGTTGTTGGTGTGTTCAAACAGCCAATCTTTCAGTTAGCAGCTGAACACTTAACCATTGTGCCACCAGGGGTCCTTATAGAAATATTAGGGTGGTGAAATATAGATAGCTAAAAATTTTTAATTTTAGCTACCCTAAAAATCTCTACGAAACCACAGGAAACTGTTAATAGTACTTATCTATGTGGGACAGGATTATGAGCTGTCTTCCATTCTCTTGTTATGTTTTTCTGCATTGTTTAGATTTTTTTTTACAACAGCAGTTACATTTGTAAGCAGAAAAGAAATTAAGGGGAAAAAAATCACTGTTACTTATCTTTCTCAAAAAAGTGAAAAATCTAAAAAAGAAACTCAGATTCTATAAAATGATATTGCTAGATACTAGAGGAAGGGAGAAAGACTGGATACAAAGAGAACCAATTACATCCTGGCTTTGCAAAACAAAGGCGAGCCTGATGCAGCCTCAGCCCTGCCAGCTCCCAGACAAAAGCTCCAAGAGCAGCCATCCCCCACACTTGGCTCTACCGTACTTCTCCTATTACTGTCAGGATGGCTGATTTAGCACTCTGTAGTCCTCTGTATGCAGAAGGTTTGGGATGAGAAAGGACCTGAGATCTTGTTATTTATTCAAGTAAAGAAAATCACCTTATAATTCCAAACCTCAAGAGAGTCAGCAAGTGTGAATGAACAGATGGTTAACCACCCGAGTTTATCTTGTTTTTCGCATCCAGGGCTTACGTAACCAAAAACCCGTATGACCAAATGCCAAACGGAAGAGTTTCTAAAAAGGAGGGTGAAACCCCTTCCAGAAGAGGGTAAAACCTGCTGCTTTTACGTCTGTAAATAGTCAAGCTTTTCCCCCCAAATTTCAAGTTAACTGAGGAAGCTTCAGGCTAGAAATAAACATCTAGTAGACTTGACTTGCTATGAGTCAGAATCACCTCGACGGCAACCAGTTCGGTTTAGACTTGACTCCTCAGTTAAACAAAGGAAATGAAAAACCTAACAACAACAATGAAAACAACCTTTGACACTCTGCCAAAGTCACAACTGATACCAGATTCTGTTACAACCTCAGATCCTCCCTATGGTCTGCTTCCACCCCCATCACTGTTTTCTCCTTGGCTACTTGTTAGCTGAGTCAAAGACATCCAAACAAAGTATATCTCCTTTGTTGTTGTCGGCTGCCATCCAATCCATTCTGACTCATAACAACCCCATGTGTGCAGAGCTGAACTGCTACATAGGGTTTGCAAGGCTGTGACCTTTCAGAAGCAGATTGCCAGGCCTGTCTTCCAAGGTACCTCTGAGTGGGTTCAAACCACCAACCTTTTGCTAGCCAACGCAGCCAGCAGCTGCTTAGCCATTATCAAGCAAGACCTGCTCCTCCTGTCCAATATCAAGCAAGACCTTAAGTGACAGACAGCGCTGTGTGTGGCTCAATTAGCAGCTGCTCGGCCATTATCAAACAAAACATGCTCCCTCCTGTCCATTGTCCTCAAAGACCCTGAGCTGCATATGGCTCAGTTTATGCCTTAAACCTGTCAAACCCAGTTTACTAGCCTCAAAAGTGTCC